GAGCAACAAGTAACAAACAAAGCTTTTGGAGCATCAAACTTGAAAGGATCAAAGATTGAAGCTTAAAAGCTTTGAATTCTAATTGAAAATGAAGAAGATAACTTTTCCTCTCCACGCCAATTGTTTTTAGGTTACAAAGACTCTATGAAAAGTAAGTTATGTTTAAGAATATATATCAACAAGTGGTAAAAATACACTCTTTCTGCCCAGGAAAATTCGTCGGGCAAGCTATAAGCTTCATCAGGCGAAACCCTTAAGTCAAGCCACGTGACAGCAACAGTGCCAGTGGGCTTGAGAAAATATCTTTATTCTCCAGGCAAGACAAAGCTTCGCCAGGAGAATTCCTTTCACTCCTCATTCGCCTAGTGAATCTGCCAGTGAACCAATTTCAGTAGCTACTGGAATTTAAATTATCTTTCGCTTCTTGCTTTGGGAGAAGATGCTCTTTCGCTTCTTCTTCTCCAAGCGAAGATTATTTTTTTTCAACACACGAATTTCATCAATTCTTTAGTTTTTCTTACAACTTTTGTTGCACCTTTTTGCCATAAAATGTTGGAAAAACTAGCAAATACATTGAAACTACCAAATATATACATTGATACAAGAATCACTTATTAAATAAGTTGTTTCACAATCAGAAGTATGGAAAAGAGCTTAAAAGCACCGCAAATGGATACGAAAATCATTATATACTTGTCATCTATCAATGATGAACCTGTGTTATTGATGGCTTCTGAATCTGTTGGTGGATATTTGGTAGAATGATGGTATGGACACTAGTTACTCAAATCACCTAACTGGAAACAAAAAATTGTTGATTGATTTTGAATCTAGAAATAGGACAAAGATCAGATGTGTTGATGATAAGTGCCTTAATGTTGAAGGAATGGGAAATGTCAAAGTTAGAGTGAAGAATGACAAAAATGTTCTGATTAAGGATGTTTGATATGTTTCGAGCATGAAGAGTAATCTGATGAGTGTAGGTCAGCTAATTGAGAAAGGTTTCTCAGTTACTATGATGGACAATCTCTTGAAGTTGTATGATTATATTCAGAAAATTATTATACAATCTGAATAGGGAAGCAACAGAGCATTCAAAGTGAATGTAGAAACAGTTGAAACTAAATGTCTTAGTGTAGAAGGTGATGGAGGTGACAGTGAGCTGTGGTACAAGAGATTGGAGCATCTGAACTTCAGAAGCTTAGGGCATCTGAGTTATAAGAATCTTGTACATGGCATTCCTAAAATTGTGAAGCCCGAAAAGTCATGTGAGATATGTATGAAACGCAAGCAACCTAGATTGTCATTTACATCAGAAATAGCTCCAAGAGCAAAACATGCTTTGGGAGTAGTGCATTTTGATGTATCTGGACCATTTGAAGTACATCCACTTGAAGGAAACAATTATTTTGTGTCATTTGTGTATGAATTCACAAGAATGACATGGGTAGCACTCATCAAGTTTAAGCATTAGGTGTTTGGTGAGTTTCAAAAGTTCAAGGTGAAGGCTGAAAAACAAAGTGGTCAGAAGCTGAAAGTTCTCAGAACTGATAGTGGAGGTGAGTACAACTCATCAGATTTCAGAAGTTTTTGTGAAGAGAATGGAGTTGAACATGAGGTTAATGCTTCATATACTCCACAACATAATAGTCTTGTTGAAAGAAGAAACATGGCTTTGCTTGATATGACAAGGAGCATGCTAAAGGAGAATAATCTCATTCATACCTTGTAGGGAGAAGCTGTTACCACTGCAGCATATGTGCTCAACAAGTGTCCAACCAAGAAGCTGAAATAAATTGGTCCTTTTGAGAAGTGGACTAGAGATAAGCAAAGTGTGAGTTATTTTAGTATTTGGCTTTGTTTGTTACAAACATGTTTCAGATGCTACTAGAAATAAATTGGATTATAAGCAAAGTAATGTTATAGATTGGGTATCACGGTACAAGTGCTTATAAGCTTTGTTGTTCAGTCACCAACAAAGTTGAATTCAACAGAGATGTTATTGTGAAGGAAAAAGAAGCATGGGATTGTAACAAGTCTCAATCCAACTATGGTGCAGTGTTAATACCTGAGTTAACTTCTAAAGATATTTCATACTTTGAAGGAGAACCTGCCTCTGAAGGATATTATGCCTCTAAAGATGAGTCGGGGTCTGAAGGTGACTCTGATTCTAAAGTAGAGTCTAAAGGCGAATCTAACTCTGAAGGTGAATCTGATTCTGACCTAGAGTATGACGATGATCCATACTCTAATGGTAATCATGTCTCTGAAGGTAGTCCAACATATGATATTGTTCCAGCATCTAAAGAAGATTATGTACAAGTTTAGAGGTCACAAAGAATCAGATAAATACCAAGAAAATTTGCAGAGTTTGACATGTTACATGATACTAAGATAAACTCTCAAGGGGAATTCATTCAGTGTGTCATGTTGGTGGACTTTGAACTAGTTAGAATTGAAGAAGCTCTCAAGAAGAAAGTGTGGCCGAAGGCCATGAAAGAAGAACTTGGGGTTATAAATAGAAACAAGACTTTAGTGTTGACTAGGCTTCTAAAGAACAATAAAGTCATTAGTGTGAGATAAATTTACAAGTTGAAACTGAAGCCAGGTGGATCAATTGTCAAACACAAAGCAAGGTTAGTAGCTAGAGGACTTTTATAGAAGTTTAGATTAGATTACTTTGAGGTGTTTTCACCTGTAGCCAGGTACAGAATAATGAGATTGGTGATTGTTATAGTTGCTAATAGAAATTGGTATTTGATGCATTTAGATGTGGAATATGCATTTTTGAATGGTCCATTACAAGAGGAAGTTTATGTGTCATAACCTCTTGGATTTGTGAAAAGAAATCAGAAAAGGATGGTGTACAAGTTGCATAAAGCCTTGTATGAACTGAAACAAGCTCCTAGAACTTGGAATCTAAATAATGATTCATTTTCAAGCTTTAAGAATTCAGAAAATGTGAGATGGAGTACGGTGTTTATGTTCAGCATACATCTGACAGCAATATGATTATGATGTGCCTCTATGTTGATGACATATTGCTAACAGGAAGTTGTTCATATGAGATAGTCAAGTTCAAAAAGGCGTTGATGAATGATTTTGAGATGAGTGATCTAGAAAATATGGTATATTTTTTGACAATGAAGATTTTGTACTCTGATAAGGGTATAATTTTGCATCACCTAGAGTATGAACTTGCGCTTCTAAAGAAATTTGAGCTAATGAATTACAAGTCTGCAATCACACCTGCTGCAACAAATCATCAACTGGATTTTGACGTTGAGGGTGACGATGTAGATGCTACAACTTTTAGACTGTTGGTGGGCTCATTGAGATATCTTTGTAACACCAGGCCTGACATTTGCTATGTAGTTGGAATGGTGAGTAGGTTTATGAACAAAACAAAGTGGTCACACTATCAAGCTACTATCAGGATACTGAGGTATGTTAAGAGGACTCTGAGGTATGGAGTTTAGTTCCTCTCTGACGTTAAATTTGATTCAAAGTTGATATGGTATTCAGACTCTGATTAGTGTGGAGACAGAGTTAACAAAAGAAGTACTTCTGGATATTTCTTCAAGTATATGGTAGGTCCCATTTCTTGGTGCTCCAAGAGGCAACCGGCGGTTGCATTGTCATCATGTGAAGTTGAGTACATTGCAGGTGTTTTGTCTGTGTGTCAAGCTGTTTGGATTATGAACTTATTGCAAGATCTGAAGATCAAGGTGAACAAGTCTGTGAGGTTGATGATTGACAACAAATCAGATATAAGTCTTGCTAAGAATCTAGTGTTGCATGGAAGGAGCAAGCACATTGACACGAAATTCATTTTCTGCACAATCAATTTCAGAATGGATTGCTTAAAGTTGTTCACTGTAGCACTCAGAAACAACTTGCAAATGTAATAACTAAGAAAATCAAAACTGAACACTTCATTAATTTAAGAGAAAAAATTAGTATTATTGCTTTTAATTAGTTAAATATGAATTCAGCGATGATGTTAGTTGTAATTCAATTTCAATTTCAATTTCATTTGCTTTTAATTTGATTTGTATTTAAATTCCATTTAGTTTAAGCTTGTATATAAACTAAAGTTTAAATTCAATTTATAACAGAATTTTTATTATATCCGTTTTTTCATCCGAGAGTAAAAGTTAATTTAAATTCTCTCGATTCTTTCATCATTATTCTTATGTACCAACGTTTCTTATTATTTTACTTATAAATGTGTGATTTAGAGTGAGTACTTTATTTATTTATTTTTGCTTATAATCAAGAAAGAGTACTCTTCTTTCCAACATTTCATTTATTTTCTTTCTAATTAGTTTGGACTTTTCGAATACTATCAAGTTGGCTGAAAAGTCTTTAATATGTTCCTATCTGCATGGCAGCTTCCTCTCCCTAAGTAGGTTCCATCTTTAAAATCACTTTGACCAATCATCATTTCCTTCTAAACTAATTAATCCACATAAATTGAATATAGAATATTCTATAGTAGTTGAAACCTCGGTGACCAAACACGTAATTAGCAGCCGCGTGAAAACCTATTTCAGAAACTTCTCTTACACGTAACTTACATTTTCAAATGTGAAACATTCCACATGAAAAAACACTAGTACTATGTCGTCTAATGTTACACAATTATATATTTATTACTTCGGTTTTCTTTATTGTAACGAAATCTTACGTCTTTCCAAAACCAGCTATAACAGTTGGCAAGTTTTAGCTTTTTTACAAAGCTGTTTTTATAATCGCTTAATCCAAAACTGTTATCTTTCCTAGGGAGCATAAAACAAAGTTTAATCACAAAGTTTTTGTATCATTCTTAGTATATATTTTTTGATCTTTCCCCTGTAATTTCAGGGTTTTCTCTTCTTGTTTTGTTCAACTCTTTCATTTGATCTTGTTTGTTACAAGAGAATTTTTTTATTTTTTGAGTCACATATTCCTAATTATAATATAACTTAGGTAAGCTTTTTTGTAAAGTTTCATTTTTGATGTTAGAAAAAATGAAGGTTTCAAATAATCAAAACCAATCAAACTATGTACCAAAGATTTTCAATGTTCAGCTTCACTTTATTAATTTTCTCACCTATGTTCTAGTATTGACCTTTGGTTTAACACTTGGGATAATTTTGAGTTTCTATCTTAAAGAGTGTAGTTTTAGTTTACAATTCACTCAGTTATCGCTTTCTTCTATACCGAAAACACCGTCGTTGCCACCGCCGATTGCGGTGAAACAAGAACGTATAGGATTGAAGGAGTTTCTTAAGGTTCCTCCAGTTATGCATGATATGGATGAGGAAGAATTGTTATGGAGAGGTTCTATGACATCGAAGATATCTGAATATCCTTTCGATCGAGTTCCGAAAGTTGCTTTCATGTTTTTGACAAGAGGTGCTGTGTTTTTAGCACCTTTGTGGGAACAGTTTTTCAAAGGGCATGAAGGGTATTACTCAATTTATGTTCATTCTAATCCTTCTTATAATGGATCACACCCTGAGAGTCCTGTTTTTCATGGTAGGAGAATTCCGAGTAAGGTTAGTTTTTTTCTTCTTCTTCTGTTTCATTATTGAATTTCAGTTTATTCCGTGCACAGTTTGTTGTCTGTTTGTCTTCTATTTTTGTATAAACTTTGTCTTAATCTTGTTTTTCTTCTTATGCAGGAAGTTGAATGGGGCGATGTAAACATGATTGAAGCCGAGCGTCGCTTACTATCGAACGCACTTCTGGATATCTCGAACCAACGATTTGTTCTACTATCAGAATCCTGCATACCGCTCTTCAACTTCACAACCATCTACTCTTACTTAATAAACTCTACAGAAAACTATGTCATGGCTTATGACGATCCTAGTCCGGTCGGTCGCGGCCGTTATAGCATCCAGATGTTACCTGAGGTTTCCATCAGGCAATGGAGAAAAGGGTTTCAATGGTTTGAAATGGACAGAGAGCTTGCTCTAGGAGTTGTGTCTGACAGAATATACTTCCCTGTTTTTCAAGAGTATTGCAAAGGTTCATGTTATGCAGATGAACATTACTTGCCAACTTTTGTGAGCATTAAATTTTGGGAAAGGAATTCAAATAGAAGTTTGACTTGGGTTGATTGGTCAAGAGGGGGTCCACATCCAGCTCATTTTTTGAGATCTGATGTTAATGTTAACTTTTTGGAGAGATTGAGGAGCAAGAAATGTATGTATAATAATGGAAAGAGCACCAATGCTTGTTTTCTGTTTGCTAGGAAGTTCTTGCCTAGTACTTTGTCAAGGCTTTTGAAGATTGCACCTGAGGTTATGCAGTTTGAACACTATGATAAGCCCAAAAAACATAAGCTATCACTTGAACCAATTATTTGATTCTTTTTTTTTTCATGTTGTAAGTTTTTCATTGTCCAGTATAGATACACACACAAACTCATTTGATCAATATAGTTAAGTTCTTTCATGGATATCTGTTTATGTGTTTTTCTTTTGGACCTTGAATCTCATTAACAAAAAAATACAATCTAGAATCATCAAAGTAACTACACCCATTTAACTAGGCATATGATAGGTAAAATTGGGATAAAGGATCATCAAACAAATCCAATAATGTGATTTACAATAACCACTGCCATATCTAGAACCTTTCATTCATTCCCTGTAAAGCTAAAACCCCTCCAAAGTTTTTTACTGACTACTAGTACCAGCACAGGCATCTTCAGACAAAGAAGGTGAGTCAGAGACAGAGCCCGCCGTGTCATGACATGGTGACACTTCGACCCCACGCAAGTCCTCAATCATCTTAACAACGTGTGACATTCTCGGCCTTTGATCAGGCGAAGCGGCGGTACAAGACATAGCAATCTGAAGCAACCCAACCATTTCCTCTTCAATATCCTTATACCTCATCAACTCCAAATCAAAAACCTCAGCAGTCCATTCCTCTCTCACAACGGATTGAACCCACCTAGGTAGATCAACCATCCCACCACCATAACCACCTCCACTTCCACCGCTCTCCACAGCAGATGGACACTTCCCTGTGAGCAGCTCTAGCAACAGAACACCAAAAGAGTACACATCAGATTTCTGCGAGTGTTTTCGACCATCGGTTACTTCAGGAGCACGGTAGCCGTTTGATCTACCACCACCTCCAACTGGGCTTGGACTGTTGAAGATCGAAAGTCCAAAATCCGACACACGTGCATTTCCTTGCTTGTCGAGGAGTATATTGGTAGATTTGATGTTACCATGGGTGAGTTTAAGGGATTTACATGAATTGTGAATGAAAGTTACACCTTGTGCTGCTCCAGCTGCTATCTTAAGCCTTGTGGTCCAATCCAGTGGGGTTCTTCCAGGCCCTCTGTTTCCTGCAATAATGACACCATTTTTAACCTATTAGGTTTTGTTTATATAAATTACATATTTGACATCCAATGAAAGATGCTGAAATTTTGGAATTGATGAGAATTGAGACTGGTATGTACTTTTTGGTCATATTCAAAATGATTTTACTGGTAAAAGATGAAAAGCAAAAAAGAGACAAATGGTGTTCAGAAAAAAGAAGATAAAGCAAAGTAGTAGTACTACACTTTTTTTAATAATGAAAATGGGGTCCAGGAAAAGAAGACAATAGTCTTCTCCAATGCTACTGTGCAGTGGAGCAACTGTCAATTTTATCAGCTGCTTTATCTGCAATTGCTGGAAAAAGTGCACTAAAAAATAAAAGAGTTGGAATTTGGAAAAAGGGAGAAGACAAGGAATAATAAAGTGAGTTTAAATGTGTTTGGTTCTGAAGTAACACATCGATTTTGAATGGACTTATTTTGGAAAAGCGAGCATCCTCTAAAAATAAATTGAACAACAAATTCAAAATTAAAATCAATTGCAAAAGCCAAAATACCACAAATTATAGCTTAAGTAGACTCAAATCAATTTTACTCTATACATTCAAAAGTGTCAAATGATAACAAACCAGTATAAATCAATTTAGGATCAAGAGTTAAATGGTGAAATTAAATTAAAATGTAAATTGATTTTGTCATATTTAACCGCTGACAGAATAATTGATTTTGTCTTTTGAAGATTGATTCTAACTTGATTCAAGATTTGATTTTTACATTGTATTTATTTTTCAACACACTTTTTTACATGTGTATAAAAAATAAATAACTTTTCCTTCAATGAGATTTTAACTAAATCAATTTACTCAAAATTCAATTATGGCTATCTATAACCAAACTCATAGCTTAATGCATAAATGTTATAATAAATTAATTAATTGTAGACTCAGTTTAACTAGGATGGCAAATTGGCATGGCCGCCCCATTGAAACCCATCTCAAAAAAGTCCGCAGAAAAACGGGGTGAGCAGGCCTACAGGCACTGCATCTTTTAATCATAAAAATGCAAAACAATTGTGTTAATGTCCGCGCCTGCAAAAGAGCAGGGATTGGCGAAGCTGATACATTAGAGAGTGCGGACTTAAAACCTTAACTCACCATACAAAAATGTTCGGGCAATACGGGCATGCCATACAGGTTGGGCCCGTTTTGCCACCCTAGTTTTATCTCTCTCAATTAAATCTACAATGATAGTATTGGTTCATAGGCATGGTTGCTTATCCACCTTCAAAATCTAAAATGGAAACCCAAAAATATGTTACATTCATGCATTGTAAACCTAATAAAGAAGAAGTGGGGGCTATTTCTTTTCCTCGTCATAAAATTGATTCCCTGGTAAACCTAATCAGGCATGGGGTAACATACATGTTATGGCTGTTGGCTGGTGCAAAAAATAAACCAATAAAATTTCAACTTCAAAGCAGACAACCCACTAATCAGAATTGACTTTCCCTCACCTAACCAAACACAACTAAAGAACAAAAAGATAAATCAATCTCATTTGTTTTATCTTATACCTAATATTCCATAACCTGGTTTCTGATCACCAAAAAACAAACAAAGATCATCATTTTCTAAATGTAAATTTGTAATAAGAAAACAAAGAGTATTAGTAGCAGTTATAGTAGTAGTAGTAGTATACCATGAAGAAGCCAGAACAAAGTAGCATTAGGCATGAAATCATACACCAAAAGCTTCTCTTCTCTTGCAAAATAATAAGCTCTCAAACTCACAACATTTGGGTGTCTAATCCTTCCAAGAACCTCCATATGTTGCTCAAACTCTCTCTTCCCTGCAATCTGCGCATCTTTCAATCTCTTCACAGCAACAACATTTCCATCATCAAGCACAGCCTTATAAGCAGTTCCAAATCCACCTTTCCCAAGCATTTCAGCTGAAGCACGCAACAAATCCTCAAGCTCAAACCTTTTCTCTCCTTCGAAAAACACCATTCTACCCCTCTCAAACCCTCCTTGAGTTGGATAAGGACTTGATGAATACACTATCTTTTCGCTTTCGAATAGCTTCAACCCTTTTCGTTCTTTCGATTTCGAAGAGTAGTTTCTCCAGAAATAGCAGTAGAGAAGTAAACAAACTATTCCGAGAACAAGAATGTCGCCTACTATGATTGCTATAAGAACTATTGGACTCATTTTCGAAGCTCTTTTTTCATGGCTTTTGGGGTTTGTTGTTGTTGTTGTTGGTGTAGTTGTTGGCATTGTGCTTGGTGAAGACGATACTGTTGTTGTTGGGGTTTCACTGCTTGGTACCAATGGTGAAGTAGCTATGGCACCTTCGGATCCAGGTTTGTTCGGTTCCGCTTTGCATTTCTCCAACGGAGCTCCACAGAGAAACGAGTTTTGCCGGAACGAGGATTCGGAGAATGTCGACAGAGTTTTCGGTATCTCGCCGGAGAGACGGTTACCGGAGACGTTGAAGTCTTGTAAACTAGGAAGGTTTAGTTCGGGAATGATGCCGGAAAATTGATTCTCATCGAGACGGAGGGTAAGGAGGTGAGGTAAACGGTTGACTGTCACCGGAATCTCGCCGGAGAAATTATTATAAGACAGATCGAGACGGAAGAGACGGAAAAGGGAAGTTGCAGTCACCGGGAACTCGCCGGAGAAATGGTTGTGAGAGAGGAAGAGAAGCTTCAATGAAGTGAAGTTTGAGAGACTCGGAACTTGACCGGAAAAACGGTTTCCCTTGAGACTCAAAACTCGGAGCTGAGTTAGAGAAGTTAAAGGTTGAATGGAGCCTTGGAGTTCGAGATTTTCGAGAACGAGTCGGGAAACTCGGTCATTGACGCAGGAAACGCCGTCCCAAGTACATGGATTAGTGCCGGTTTTCCATGTTGTGAGTTTTTTGGATGGGTCTGAAGCGGTTTTGAAAGCTACAAGAGCTTCGAAATCTGGATTCTGAGAAGATTGAACAATGAGGAGAAAATGGGAGAGTTGAAGAAGAAGAATGAGAAGAGAGAGTGTTGACGCCATTGTTACTCTGCAAGTGCAGAGAGAGAAAGAGAGAGAAGAAGAAGAAGGAGTGAGAATTGAATAACGGTTAGAGTGTGGTGTAATAAGTGTGTGAAGAAGAGTGTTAAAATTGTAATTAATGTGAAATGAAAGGGGTTAAACGGTAATAAAATGGGTTTAATAAGTAGCATAGGTTAAAAACGTAGAGGCTCTAACAGAAAAGTGTGTGCGTTAATGGGTTCTTTGATACGTTGCGGCACGTGAAATTACTAAAATGGACAATTTTTAATGCCTCCTTGAGCTGAAAGACTACACTGTCCATGCTTTCGGAATGGATCTTAATGATCACTTTGTTTTGAAATAGGAAAAACGATACTCCATATTTATTTGAATATCATTCTTATTATTAGAAGCCTATCCTTTCTGCATAATGCAAGCTTTTATACCTTTTATTATGATCATTCTATAATAGATAATAATAATATTCTGGTAATATTAATATATATTTACACTAGATATAAGAAATGCGAAGAAAAATATAAGGGAGGAACACATAAATAAATAGTAATTCTCACTAAAAATTATTTGGATTTGAATCTTCTTTTTTTCCCTCTCCATTCCTCTCATCTCTCTCTTGTCTCTTTCTTAATTTTACTCTCTTTATTATAAAATTATTTTTTCTCTTCAAGAAAAAATAACTATGCAAATGCAAATGCTAAATTCTTAAAGGATGATGTTATTCTATCAAGAACACCTTGTGTAAGAGGACATTTGATTATATATGATAGGAAAGTTATTCATAATTATATAGAAGATTTTTTTATGGGAACTCTCAATGAGATGAATTCTTTCTTTAGGAAAGTCGCAAGAAATAATTGGAATTATGATTGGATCACGGGTGATATTTATATTGGAAATAAGACCTACGAACTAGGTAACGCTAACACACCTATCCAATTTAAGAAATATGACCTCACCATTAAAGATCAAATGTGGATAAC